GGGGGACAGTGTAGGGAGGGGGACAGTGTAGGGAGGGAGACAGTGTAGGGAGGGAGACAGTGTAGGGAAGGGGACAGTGTAGGGAGGGGGACAGTGTGGGGAGGGGGAGAGTGTAGGAAGGGGGACAGTGTGGAAAGAAAGGGGTTGCTGTGGATGTGCAGTTGTTAGTGGGGAGGGGCATTTGTACAGGCCTGGCAATAGTGTGGACCTCTGCACAAAAGAAGTCCACATAATGCAGGGGGTGATGGCATTGTGTGGACTCGCACGTGTCCACACAATGTTTTCCCCTCTCAGAACAGTTTTCGAAGCATTTTGGGGTCAAGGTTATCTGTGGCAATATGAAGAGGAACAGTCCAGGAAATCATCATAAAAATCCAGCTCAAAGGAGTTATCCTAGTGGGAAAAAAGGGAGCATTTTACCAAGTCATCTTGACCACAGAAGAACAAGAAATCACTGTGTGCCTGGAAAGACGTAAGGGCTTATGCCCTTTTGCCGGACAGCAAGATCACTGCAAAGAAACTTTTCCCAGCAAAAGGACTTATGTATGCAACTGTTTTTAATGAAAGAGAAAGATTTATTTGAAAAAAGTTTTTTTAAAAAGTCATTAATAAGATAAGTGTTTCAAAGGTTGATTTTTGAACAGCCTGTGTTTATTTTGTTATAAATTTTATCCGTTTTTACTAAATAAAGAGTGTCGGAAACATTTTTTCTGCTGTGATCATACGAGCTTAGGTCCTTTTGCTGAGTACATGACGGAATGTCCACACTTTGTATGTAAAACAAATATGTCTGTCTGTGGTAGTGGGGCTGGGGTGGGACTTACTCAGTTTAAGGTCCAGTTCCATCACTACATCCTTCAGCTGTGCGATTTCCAAGGCCTCCCACAATGCTTTGTCGTCATGCTCATTCCTGGCATCAAGGTTGAATCTGGACAGGTATTGCCAAACAAGATTTGCACATCACATGATGAAATACACAAGAACACACACACAAAAAGGTGGAAATGAATTCAAAACAAATGCCACTAGAATCATATCAGATTCAGGACTGTCCGTTTGCCAAGAACGGATATTTAGAGGGGAAAACCTTGTACAGCAGTCTTTATTACTATAAGAGGGCACACTGGCTCACCTGATGGTTCCAGTGAAGAGCACAGGGTCCTGTGGAATGATGGCCAGACGACTCCTCAACTGAAGAAGGGGAAGACTAGCAATATTAACGCCATCCACAAAAATGCGCCCTGGGTTAAGAAAAAAATCAGAGGTCCAAGGCATTAAGAGAAAAGGTCAAACCTGGAGATAAACCTATACATTTGGCACAAAGGTACTGGGAGGTTTGTTGTTCAACAGATTTAGCCTAATATGTGCCTTGGCCAAAGTGGTGTGGTCAAATGCAGCACCATGGGCAAAAGTGAGATACCGTCCTGACTGAGAAAGGCTTGGTGAAAAGCACTGAACATCGGGTACCATCGGCCCATGGGAGTTTTACGCTATGTAGGGGGTAGTGCTGTTAACAAAAAGCCTCATTCTTATTGTGCAGATTGAAATGGACTCTTTTCTCAGGCTTTCAAGAATATGGCCTTTGTTTCTGTGTCCAAGGTGGACACACAGGAGTCAGAGATCAAGAAGTTCTTCAAAGTGATCAAGTTTGTTGTTTTACCTTGGAAGGTCTGTATGAGTCTGAAGAGGGTCAGCATGAGGGAAGATTTGCCGCTGCCAGTCCGACCACAGATTCCAATCTGTGGGAAAAAGTCAACAAAGTAGGTCCCTCGTTGACTTCAGTTAGTTTGGAGAGAACGAGGACACGATTTGTGTGGCGCATAATCAGACCGATTTCATGAATGAAATTTGCCGAGTAGAGAAACGATTCAGTTAACGAGAAAAATGGCTGATTGGCCAAAACTTCACGTTGTTTATACAGCCACCTTTGCATAGCAATGTTTTCTTCTTAACTGCATGCTTGATTTCTAAGCAGAACTAGGGGAAGTCTGCCCCCCCCCCGAAAAAAATCTCTGACGTTGCTGCAGAGCATTTTTTTGAGCTGAATGTTCTGGAGTTTTTCTATGTCTAACCATAAGTTTATGAAAATTAGAACCTCTGTTCTTGGAAGCGCCTTTAAACAGGTTAGCCAAAAACTGCTGTGCACTCAAACTGACACTCTGCAACAACAATGTTGCATGTTTGAGTACCTGACAGCCAAGACTTGGGGGGGGCACTGTGAGAGGGCCAGAAAAAAAAATAGCATTTCCAGGGTTTGAGTAAAGCTACATCTGCATATACATTGTACAACATCAGTACCACTTCAGATATCTGACGTTTCTGAGTGGTTTGCCATAGTTTAACACTTGAGCACGAATTTGAGAACTTAACAAAATGTTATTGTTGTGGTCCAGCCCCCAGCCGATCGCTCGGGGTTGGCGGTCCGTCCGCCACTCAAGGGGGAATCGGAGGCTGAATCGAGGTAGGAAAAAGAAAAGGGAAAGAGAACTGCTAGAGAGAGACAGACAACGATGGGAATACGAATGGAGCCTCACACTTGTTGGATTAAGACACATAGCGTAGCCATACTGCTACCCCAAGCCAAGTCAAAAACCAACTCCCCAATCTTAAGTCACGTCTTAGAAACTTCAGTGGCACCGAGAAGGTATAACAAGTTGTGCCAAAAAGTAATACAATCTGGCCACTTTCGGCCAACAAACGTCTAGAGAATGTTTTGTCACGTGCAGGGCCCACCCAAAATCATGCCCATGCAGAGTTCAAAGGTACATTATGACGAACTTAATGATAATGGGGGAATCCCCAGCCCACTACATTATTAAAAAGTGAACTCGAAAAAACATCAGAAAACCAGACACACACATAATAAAACTTACGCTAAACTTTTATTAATACAATGCGTAAAACTCATTTTTCCCTCAACAAGTCTAGAGACAGATGCACTGAAAGCCTCGGGCAGAACGTTGGAAAAAAACCTATGAATGTAAATAAAATCACCCGTCTCAGATGATACAAAACTGAAATTACTGTTTCCAAAAAGTGGATCCAGACATACGTTTCTACAAGAGTAATTTCAGGCCTGTACAAAAAAGGATGTCTAGGCTATAGCTACCTTTTCTCCCGGTAGGAAGTGAATGTTGACGTCATGCAGGACTGGATCCAGCTCGGTAGCGTAACGGGCCGACACGCCCTCAAACAGTATCAAGCCTCGATTGGGCCAACCTCGTGGAGCTGTGGCTGCACCTGTTTTCAACCAACAACAAGAAAAGGAAAATGTGTGATTTGTTGATAAGCCTTCTGCGAGTTAAATTTGAATAAAATCTGGTACACTGAGTTATCTGATTGCACATAAACATCACGATTTGAATTCCCAAAACTAAAGACACTGTTGGA